ATCAATGACGCTACGTCGATGTTTCTCGTCGGTTACACCACTTGCACACTTTGGATTGCACAACATACAACGCACACCATACACTGTACCACATATATTGCATCACGTCTATTGTCCCACATCGATTGCACCACCTGAATTATCCACGTGTGGAAAACTATTCGGATCGCCCCCCCAGAATTGACAAATCCCTTTTTTGTTTTTGCATACGATTATGCCCCATCGACCCTCATGAACACGAAGCCATATCATCCCAGGCAAGCCGGCATCGGCCCCCCACTCATCCTCTGCGAAAAACTTGCGCGCACACTCGGTTATCAAAAACCACACGTTGGCAATAGTATGTTATGCAAAAAGACGCGACGAAGTGCACGCGCGCGCGCCGTCGCGCGCACATGACGAAATGCGTCAAAAAACATTTGGCTTCGCAAAGTCCGAATCGTTCGAACGCCCTCGCGCGCGTGCTGTCGCAAAAACCTTTTTGCCAACATTGATGCGAAATTCACGTGCGCGCATCGTCGCACGCGCACGCCGATTTTTTATCGAAAACCTGGAAAAGTGATGGGGAAATGATATTAACATTATATACCTAGTTTTTTTCATTATTGTGGTATTACTTTTTTGTTTTTTTGAAAAATCTGTAGCATCAGCGTTTGAGAATGTTCGCGCTCGCGCCTTTGCGAATTATTAACAAAACCCTCGCGCCGCACGTCAAAATCATTCGAACGCCCCTGCGCGCGTGCTGGGGGAGGGGGCGATCCGTCTCAAACAATACCACGCGGGTCAAACTCGCGCGCCGGCCCCGCGCACATGTCGAAGTCCCTCCACAACCTTCATCGCCGAAGCGAGGGCGCCGTCATCGTCGCCGGCGTGCTCAGCATCGGTGCTGACACTGGCCTTGCCATCGTCGTTGGCACCATCGTCCAGCATCGCTATCATCATCAACGCGTATACCGTTCTCGACGTTGCCATGATACCGCGCCCGCCCAAATCGCCGACTCGCACTGAAGTGCCCGCTGGGAAGTGCTCAGCGGTCACGGCCACCGCGGCCACGTCGGTAGCACCAGAGTAGACGGCGGCTGCGCGCGCGAGCACGCGCGGGCCGGCGCGGCCGCAAAGATGCACCAGCCAACCCCGAGTGCTCATCGCCATCGCCGCCGCATGCGCTTTGCTAACCAGGTAGCAGGCGGGCGGGCGGGATGATTGCGCGAGCAATGGAGTGGACAACCCACTGCGAATAGCAATGGCCTCCCTTCTCATTTTAAAAAATTGACTCCACCCCCACCCCACCACCCTGGGATTACCACTCCCCCTGTGGGGTATTGCAATTTACATATGATTCCGCCCCCTCGTTCATCTTCCATATGAACCATGTCATCCCAGCGAGTCCCGGCATCGGCCCTCCCCCATCACACCTGTCCAATAATACCCTGCGGCGCACGTGCGTTGATCTTGGATGAGCTGAGTGCACGAATCCCTACGAAATAATACCATGCGAGCCACGTGTGCGCGCGCAAGGCGAACTCCTTCCAAAACCTCAGCTTTCGTTGCGATTCCAGCGCAAAAACGAATTATCCCAGCAAAGCAACCGAACAGCCATGTGTATGAGCATATATGGAAGCATTCTTCTTTAGATTCATGTTCGGATTTGACTGGAAGCGAAACGCTGCGATCAATAGTGGACGTGTATGCAAAAGATGCACTACCATCAACGAGAAAGCACATTCTTTTTGAGCTCATTCCAAACGAGACGTTGCTATGCAGGGGTGTAGGTGCAAACGAGACGCTGCTATCAATGGCTTCCGCCCCAAACGAGACACGAGTATCAACTGGCTTAATTTCGAACGAGGCACTACTACTTACTACTACGGATGCGTCTGGAAACGAGACGCTGCTATCAATAGTGGATGTCTCTGCAAAAGAGGCACTGCTATCAACGAGACAGCACAGCGTTTTTGTGTTCATTCCAAACAAGGCGCGTGGCGTACTTCATGCGCATGATTGCCCGCTGAAGCGCCCCGCGGCACGACAGCGACGGTAAAAGGACAAAGTCGGTGACGCTGGAGCCCCTAATGCGACGAGGAAGCTACAGATGCATCTTCTGCGACACTGGAGCTCCGCAGGACAAGTCAGCTCAGCCTGCCTCGGCCTCAGCGTGCATCAGCCTTAGTCTCAGCCTCAGCCTGCGTCAGTCTCAGCCTGCTGCGCTCCCGCATACCCCTTCGGCCTCAGCCTGCCTCAGCCTCAGCCTGCATCAGCCTCAGCCTCAGCCTCAGCCTGCCTCAGCCTCAGCCTGCTGCGCTCCCGCATTGTCCTGCGGCCTCAGCCTGCATCCGCCTCAGCCTGCATCAGCCTCAGCCTCAGCCTCAGCCTCAGCCTGCCTCAGCCTCAGCCGCACCTCCGATGGCGCCGAGGTGGCTCCCGTGCGTACCTGCACCCACGGAACTCACCTCCGATGGCGCCGAGGTGGCTCCCGTGCGTACCTGCGCGCACGGAACGCTTCTCCGATGGCGCCGAGGTGGTTCCCGTGCGTACCTGCACGCACGGAACGCACCTCCGATGGCGACGAGGTGGCTCCCGTGCGTACGTACCTGCACGCACGGAACGCACCTCCGATGGCGCCGAGTTGGTTCCCGTGCGTGCCTGCACGCACGGAACGCACCTCCGATGGCGCCGAGGTGGCTCCCGTGCGTACCTGCACGCACGGAGTGAGCTCCGCCGGACTCTCCCGGTTTCTGCCGGCTTCCGCCCAGACCCCCCTGGAGTGTCATGATGCTCTCTTTTGACCCTACTAGAAACCTATCAGCACCAGCTGTTAGGTAAAAACCCGTAGTTGTTCAACAAATGACCGTCAGCGTGTCATCCCGCGCGTTCTTGCAGATTCCTAGGAAGCCCCTTGTTTTTTGTTCAGCTTTCCTGCCCGAGGAAGCCTTCGCGCGTGCAGGTCGAACTTATTTCGATGCCATCGCGCGCTTGCCAAAGGCATGATCCCTACCTAATAATGCGCCGCGGGGCACCATCATCATCATCATCATCATCATCATCATCATCATCATCATCATCATCATCATCATCATCATCATCAGCATCATCCTCATCATCATCACCATCACCATCATCATCATCATCATCATCATCATCACCATCATCATCATCATCGCAATCATCATCATCAGCATCATCATCATCATCGTCATCATCATCATCATCATCATCATTGCCGCCGGAAGCGTCGCGATCATTCCCCACGTCGTTTGTCGACGCCGTCGTCGGCGCTGTCTCCCGCAAGATGGACTTTGCCCGCGCGACGAACGCCCTCGCGCCCATGAGCGCGATGATTTGATCGGCGGAGCTCCACGCTGCAACTGCACCCGAGACGTTCTGAGTTCTGCTAACCACCTCATTGTCGTTTGTCGACGTTGTCGCCCGCGCTGTCTCCCGCAACATGGACTTTGCCCGCGCGACGAGGGTCCGCGCGCCAGTGAGCTCGATGAACTTTGCGGACGAACTCCACGCTGCAACTGCAGTCGCGGTCTTATGAGTTTTGTCGACCAAGATGCGGATGGGAGGGCGGGATGTTTGCGCGAGCATGGGAGGTGGTCACGCGCGGCGCAGCGTGGTCAATTGCTCCCCATAGATAGCACCACCTCTGTTGCTAGGCACACACGGTTCGGGGTCAACTCTGGCTACCAGAACGATGTTAATAAGAAATCCGTCGGCCCCCGCTTGCCGGGTTTGAAAAGGGCGCGTGAGACATTTGGCTGTCCCCCATCCACCTTCCCCCTCCCATTCTAGGGAGAGAGGGGGGGGAAGAGGTGGGGGAGGGGGGAGGGAGGGACGAGCTTGTCATCGCACCCCCGGGGCCGCTGCAGCCCCCAGAAAACCCCAAGACAGCCCAACAGGGCCCAGACAGAGAGTCAAGACAGCCGAAGAGAGCGTTATGACGGCAAAGGGTCGCCCCACGACGATCCAAGATGGCTTCAAGATGACACACGAAGCCCCCAAGACAGCCCAAAAGCGCCTCCAGAGAATCTCCGAGAGGGCCCCAAGAGGCCAAAATCATCCCATTCCCTGGGGGGAAAAACGTTCATGTTCAGCACAATCGCAGTATACGTTTGGACAGCGAACACAACGGCCCAAGTGGCTCCCAAGGTTGCACCAAGACGGCCCATGATGCCTCCAAGAAAGCCCCAAGAGGGCCCAAAGACAGCCCCAGGGGACCCCCAAGACAACCCACGACAGCCCCTGCAGGGCCCCAACAGGGCTCCAAGAAAGCCCAAGAGAGGGAATACGAACTGACATTTCGAGCCTGTCCCACCAAGGTGGCCCCTCGAGCCCCCCAGAGGCCCCCGAGGGCCCTCCAAGAGGCCCCTAGAGGCATCCATGACGCCCCCAAGAAGGCCCCTAGAGGCCCCCACGAAGCCTCAAAAAGCCTCCTAATGCCCTCAAGAATTCTCCAAGAGGTTCCAGAGAGGCATCCCAAGAGACCCTCAGATTCATCCAGGAGGCTCCTGACGCAAGATAGAACTTCCACGATCGTCTCAAACACTCACTCCTTTGTGGGGGCCGGCGGAATGGCGTAAGCCACTTGAATAAGGTATAGCGCACGTTATTGCCATGCCTCTGGCTTGACCCGAATGGCCCGCACGAAACCCACGCGAGGATCTCAAAGCGATGGCACAAGGCCCTGAACATGACTCTGACAGCACCGCTGCACATGACACATAACCAAACTACTCCCCGCCTACCTCATAACCTCAACTTGAACTCCACCTCCTCTTCATCGTTGTCACCCGTCTCAATTCTCCCGCCGCCAGCACACTTGCCCCCTGACCTTGCTGCTGCCCTCCCCTCTGCAAGGTCTCTCATCATCGCCGGCCTGCACCCACCCCGACGCTGACCAGTCGCGAAAACTCCCACCCTCCCCCATCACCCGGAGATCAAGATCCTCAGCAGACACACCCTTCTCGGGCCCGATCATCGCCCAGAGAAAAAATGTCCTGTCAGCGGCTCCGCCGAGCACTGCTCCAACGGACCCCCCAGCACATTTTCCACGTCTGGCAGCGCCGCCGCAGCGGCGCCGTCCGCGCCAGCAGCCTACACAAGCGGTGTGGGCAAGTTTGTCACGGTCGAAGGACTCGATTGCAGGCATGGAGGGGAAGCTCCGCGGAGTGCGGGGCTGAACCCTCTGATGCTGTCAGCGGGTGTGTGGCTCAAAGGGGGGGTCCGCGCCGCGTCGCCCCGCGACCCGCCTCGCGGCCCAGCCGTCCGATGCACCCCGCCAGCGACCCGCGCGCTGACCCGCCCAGGGACGCCCAGCACCTGCACCGGCGACCAGGCGCCCGCGACCCGCGCCAGGCCCGCGACCGCCGCCTGCGACCCGCGCGTGCCCCCCACCACGCTCGCGAGGCCAGCGCCGTCCGTGGGACCCGCCCCCGCCGCAACTGGCGCCCCTCCACTGTTTGCGAGGCGGGGGGTTTTTAGCCGCACCCACCGCCCGGGAACCCACGGCCTGGTGCTCCATGGCGGGCGGTGGATCTGGCTACGTGTTGGCCGCCGGGGGCCCGAATATGCAGTTGGATCTGGGCCAGAAGAGCGTCCTTCAAGAACACGAGGCCCCCCGTCGGCCCAGAAAACACAGAGCATCCAAGAACACCCTCCCCCGGGTGCACGAGAACTCATGGGGAACTGGGACACACAAATAAATACACACAAATAAAACTATCCCCTATATTTTCCAATATTTTCTGGGTTTTTGTTGTCCCCCCCACTTCCCATATTTTCCCATATTTTCTGGGGATCGTCGATTAATTGTGTCTGTGTTTTTTCCCTCTTGAAGAACATCCGACAACCACGAAGAACAGCAGGGCACCCTCCCCGAACCGACCTCGAGCTCGTACCTCGGCCCAGACGTATCCACATCCACCGCATGCCGAGGCCTCCAAGAATCGACCCTCTGGGCGGTGTGGTTCTGCTGGTGCTTTCGGAAACCCTGAACCCACAAACGTTTTCATCTCTTGTAAGGCATTTGTTTACTTCCGCCGACTTCCGCCGCCCTTCCGCCAGCGGCGGCGGCCTCCTTTCACTTCCGCCGACATTTCCGCCGCCTTCCTCCGCGGAAGAGACGACAACCCCTTCGATCCCCGAAGGCAAGGCGCTTTTTGGAACGCCCCATGTGTAAATTTAGGTCGGGAGTGCCCCCCATACAGGCGGATATTTGGACGAAAAAACAAAAAACAGCCCAAAAAATGCTCAACACACGCAATAGAGAAAATCGTCCACACCATTTTTGGACTACTTTTGCATCTTCCTCCTGTAGAGGGACGCGCCCGACTTGAGCATGAAATCCCCGCCTCGGACCCGCGGGACCCCCCCGCCCCTCGCGGGAGAGCCGCGCCCCCCCCGCCGCCCCCGCACGGCCCCGCGTGCCCCGCCGGCGACTCCCGCGGCCCGCGCGCCCGCGGCCCGCTCCCCCGCGGCCCGCGGCCAGCCCTCCCGGGGCCCGCCCACGACCCGCTCGAGAGCAGCAGCAACAACAACATCAACAGAAGCAGCAGCAGCAACAGCAGCAACAGCAACAGCAGCGACGACGACGACCACGACGACCACGACGACGACGACGACGACGACGACGACGACGACGACGACGACGACGACGACGACGACGACGATACCAGCGACAACGATGACAACGATCGCAACGACAACGACAACGACGACCACGGCGGCAACGATGACATCGTTGTGATCGTTGTTATCGTTGCCATTCGAGCCACGGCGGGCCACACCCGCGCGCGCGCACACGGCACGTGTCCGACTGCACACACCTTGGCTGGCCCAGAACGAGCACCTGCCCGGGCGTCCATCTTGTGATTTATGCTTCCAGCTGGGGGGCCTCGCGGCGGCGTCGTGGGACCCCAGGAGGTCCGAGGACCCCGTGGGCCCGGTCCCAGTTGGGTGCCCCAGGGGGGGGGGGACCGAGGCCCTCGCGGGGCCCCAGGCCCGCCAGAAAACACACTGCTTGGGAGCCTGCCTTGGCTTGAAAGCTTCGAATGCGGAGCAACCCTGGCGCTCCAGGCGCTAGTTGTGTGCATGCGTCTTTCTCGCCGCCTCCCTGCACCACATCATGTGAAGCATACAGTCAAAAACCCTAATAAGGACGCGCGGTAAGAACGCAAGACCCTTGGAAGCCGAAGTTGGGATTTTTGGGGCGGCGGACGACGAAAACCTCGAGGACGCAAGAGCCAAGGGCACCCTGAGCAAAGTCGCGCGTCCTCATCAGGGTTTTTGACTGTATCTCCGCCTGCGGCGGGCCGCTTTTTGCTCCTGTCGTGGCCCAAGGCCATCCCGTGCCTCGCGAAGCCCACAGCGGACACCCAATACGCGTGGAGACGGGCCCTCGAGGAGCGTAGGGCGTGGGCGGGAGCGGCAGGAGAAGCGCACCGGACGGGCGAGGGGAGCGGTGGCATTGAAGGGACCCTGGGACACACAAATAAATACACACAAATAAAAGGATTCCCCATATTTTCCAATATGTTCTGCTTTTTTGTCTTCCCCCCCACTCCCCATATTTTCATCTTTTCTAGGGAATCGACGATTAATTGTGTCTGTGTGTTTCTTTCCCCCCTGAAGGGTGCCCCTGGGCCCCCCCTCCCACGGGGTGCCCGAGGTCGCCTGCCTCGAGGATCTGCTGACCCAGATGAATCCAAACCTGGGTCAGTCAGGCTTTGCAGGATCCTGCACGCTAACACGACCGATCGCGCAGTGCGCTCTCTCGAGGCCAACGGCAGCTCACGTGCGCGTACCTATCTGCGTCGGTCCTGATCAGGGCCAGTCGGAACGAACGGTGGACGATAGAATTCTCGACGAACCAAAGCCCGCGCACATTCGGGGCTGCTCGGGGCCAGTGCAGGATCCTGTGCGCCAGCCAGGGTCAGTGCAACCCTGGCTCTGCAGGATCCTGCAGGATCCGGTGCTGTGGCTGACCCCCGTTTACATGGACCCCCGTCTCAAGGCTCCCGACTGGCCCCCCCAGCACACTCCTCCGGGCAAGCCAGAATCCATGGCAGTGCGGCGCACGGCGCTGCCCTTCCGAACTTGTTCGCCCCTCATCACTTGGGCCCCCTAGAGGGGGCGAAAGCATATCACCTCCTGCCTTGAAGCTTGGCTTGCTGCCTCTGGACCGTGACGGCTGTTCAAGGCCTCCCCAGTTCGACCTCTGACGAGAAGGCTGGCGAGCTTTGAGCAACAGCTGCCTCGCTGCTGTCCCCAGCGGCCGCGGCAGCCAGCGAGCCGCGGGCCAACAGAGCACCGGCGGCGGGCTGGCCGACCAGGACTGCGCGCAGTCGTGGGGAGAGGGCGAAAGAACGGAGCAGACGGGGAGGAGGCTTACCAGCCTGGAACATATCCCTATCCCTAAGCTGGCCATCGCCTCATCGCGATGCCAATCTTAGGGATTCCCTTAGTTGTTCAGGGCGCATCCCTAAGATTGTCATCGCCTTTTGGCGTGTCAATCTTAGGGATAGGCAAAGTTCGAGGATGGGGAGGAGGTGTTGGGGGGGAAGGACGGGAGCATCGTGATGCATGGGACTGCAAGGGCGGGGAGCAGGCAAGGCACAGGAAGAGGGCGAAATCGCTGATTCCCAGGCGCGCGAGAGCACGCTGCACGTGACACACGATACCCACTTATCATCGAAAGCTCTCTCCCTCTCTCTCTCTCTCTCTTTCTTTCTCTCATTCTCCCATTCTCTCTCATTCACTCGTTATTTCTCACTGTCCAAATACATTAATGAAAAACTACATGTGTGCATATATATATATATATATATATATATATCTGTATATATCCATATATATATATATAAAAATATATGTATAGCAAGCCAGCCCCGGCATCGAGAATACGCGCGTGTGTGGGTCTGCAAGATCGCTGCCCTGCACTCTGGGCCCACGCGGAGAGCCCCGCCGGCGCTCTCCTGCAGTCTGGAAGCCACTTCGGGTGGGCCAACGACGCCCGCACCCTTAGAGGACAGAGAACTAGTCGGGGCGTTGACCTAAGGAACCCTAAATAAGGAACGAGGCCCCTTTTTTCCAGAAGTTCAACTTCGATTTCATATCGAGAACATCGGAAAACCTGAGGCAAGCTGTGAAACACTCAAGGAACGCGGAGCCCCTCCCCGACGAAAAGGGTTCCTTCTTCAGGGCCCCGACAGTATGCACATACACTGATTCGGGCCAGGCCCACACTGAGCCCAGGATCGGTGCATACGCCACCCTGCCTTGGCCAGGAGGTCACACGCACCGATCCTGGGCCCGGGATGGGCCAGGCCAAGATCGGTGCATTGCATAGTTCTCTTCGCCCGAACCCTGGCGTCCCGAAGTCACGAGGCGTGCGATTCTCAGACATTTTCAGGACGGCTCCCACGAGCTACAAAGGTCGCTGCGACTCGGCAGCCCGAGGTCAGAAACTGCACATCCGTGATCTGAAGGATGCCCCAGCGCGGCACCGGGACGCCACACGATGCGCCGAGATTTACGCTGGATGCCCCAGGGTTTCATTCGCGAGATGCCTCCGGAACCCATCGACAGTAGGCACAGCCAAAAAGGTTACGATGGGCACTCACACCAACGAAGGCACGATGGGCGACCACACCAAAAAACCCGAGGAGTGCTGCTGCTGCTGCTGCCAGCGATGCCCTTCCGTCTGTAAGAAAGCAGGCATGCAGCTGTCTTGCGAGAACCTGCAGGAGAAAGGGAAGGAGGAGGAAGAAGAGGAGGAGAAGAAGAAGGGGGAGTGGGAGGGGGAGGAGGAAGAGGAGTAGGAGAAGGAAAAGGAAGGGGAGGAGGAGGAGGAGGAGGAGGAGGAGGAGGAGGAGGAGGAGGAGGGGGAGGACGAGGAGGGGGAGGAGAAGGAGGACAAAAAGGAGAAGGCATGCAACTGTCTCGCGAGAACCTGCACCCACGGCGACCTTCGGCTGGCGCTCGGAGCACGAGAGAAGGCGGAGAAACGGAGGGCGGAGACACGGGAGAACCGGAGGGCGGACGGTCCTGCGGAGCCCGCCGCTGGAATAAAAGAACACTGCACAAACATACAGGCGGACGAGGCCAGGACGAGGATACAAATCGGGTGAGGATGAATCGAGACTCTCTGAGATCCAGCGGCTCTGGAAGATGTCTCGGGCGCTGCGGCCTTCCAAGAGCGTTTCTGAGAGCGTCCCGGAACGCTCTGGAACGGGCTTATCCTCTCCCTGGCCCCGTCCGACGACCCCTGGCAGGACGCCCTTCCTCGTCAGCGTAGTTATTCCATCCACTCGTTGCTCTTCTTCCTCCCCCTCCCTGCACTGCATGAAGCGCACAAGGACATACGGCCAGACCCAGGACAGAAGGACATCCCTCAAGAACACGAGACCCTCCGCCAGCCCAAACTGAAGAGCATTCGAGGGTGCCCTCCCCCAGGATGCGCAATAACACACAACAACCACGAAGAACAGTAGGGCACCCTCCCCGCTCGATCTCATACCCCAGTCCGACTGCAAGCCTTTGGAGGTCCGTTCGGATTGCTTGGATCTGCGCTGAGCCCCCCGATCCCACGGAACCCGCGCGGGCCGTCGAAAATTCATGTATTCCCGTCGGTCAGAAGAAGTGGGTGGAAACATGAAGCAGAAGGCGCTGGAAGCAGATAGGGCCTCTGCCCGCCGCCCGAAGGAAGGAAGGAATGGAAAAGAGCACTCGCCGATCGAAGTGGGAGGGCGCCCAAGGCAGCTTGGGATCTGGGAGTCCAGAAACACCCTACTTTCAAAGACCGACGGGTATGCCGCTCCTTCCCCGCGGAGGGGACGGGGGTCCCGGGAGGGGTCCGGGGGGGGGGGGCGTCCCGGGGGGCGGTCCCGGCGGGGTGCTCCCAGGTCAGAATACCACCCTCCCGGGCCATCATGGCCCGCCCTCTCCCTCCCATCTCCGTCGAGGACCGAGGCCTCCAGGGTCGGCGGCGCCGGCCGTAGAAGGCCTCAGCGATGCCCTGCTTTCGACGACCGACGGGCTATACTGAAGGGGCCCCAGGACACACAAATAACTACACACCAAATAAAAATATGCCCCATGTTTTCCTATATTTTTTGGGGCTTCCGTCTTCCCCCCCACTTCCCATATTTTCCCATAATGTGTCTGTTTGTTTCTTTCCCTCCTGATATACGCCGCTCTCTGCACCTCGGCGGGAGCGGCCTCCCGCGGGGCCCGCCGCGGCGCCCGGGCCCGCGGCGGCCCCCCGCGCCGCGGCCGCGAACGCCGGCGCCCGCCGCCACAGCAGAGCGGCCGGCAGCAGCGCCGCGAGCAGCAGCGGCCGCGCCGCGCCCCGCCAGGGGGGCCGCCCGTCGGCGCGGGGGGGCGGCGGGCGCCGCCTGGCTCGGAGGGCTCGCGCCGGGTCTGCGCCGGATCGGTCTATGCGCGAAGGAGGAGGGGGAGGAGGAGGAGGAGGAGGAGGAGGAGGAGGAGGAGGAGGAGGAGGAGGAGGGGGAGGAGGAGGAGGGGGAGGAGGGGGAGGAGGAGGAGGAGGAGGAGGAGGAGGAGGAGGAGGAGGAGGAGGACGAGCTATACGCGGAGGTCGGATCGGAGGGGGAGCGGAGCGGGTCGCCAGCTATAGGCGTCCCGGCTCGGATGGGCATCGAGGCGCCGCGCCCCGCTTCAATGGCGGGTCCCGGCGCCGGTGCCGGTGGATATGATATAGAGCCGGATCGCGTCGAGGGGGGAGGCGAAAAGCCCCCCCCCCCTCAGTCCCGACCCCCTCCCCGAGCCCGCGATCCAGGGGGTTTGGGACTGGGGGCAGGGGTGGGTTTTCGGGGTCCAGGGAGGGAGAACACGCGCCCCCGGTCCCGACCCCTCGAATCGCCGGCTCGGGGATGGGAGTGGGGACTGGGGGTGCGGGTGGGTGTGCGCCGTCTGATCGAGGGCGGTTCGGTCGAGCGCTGGCGGGCCGCCCTTCCTCGTCAGCGTTCTCCTTCCGCTCGTTGTTACAGGAGGAGCGCGACAGCAAGAAGCCTTCCACCAGAAACCCAACCCTGAGGCCCCAGGACGTCCATTGATTTCTGGTGTGGGAAAGTCTCACGCTCTCCGTCGCAAAACCATCGAAACCCAAAAAGCTAGGGCACCCTGGAGGCACCCAGGGTGTTTCTTGGCATGGGTTTCCACTGCATTCTTCCTTTAAGACGAAGCCGGGACGAGGATACAAATCGGGTGAGGACGAATCGAGACTCTCTGAGATCCAGCGGCTCTGGAAGATGTCTCGGGCGCTGCGGCCTTCCAAGAGCGTTTCTGAGAGCGTTCCGGAACGCTCTGGAACGGGCTTATCCTCTTCCTGGCCCCGTCCGACGACCCCTGGCAGGACGCCCTTCCTCGTCAGCGTATTCCTTCCACTCGTTGCTCTTCTTCCTCCCCCTCCCTGCACTGCATGGGGCGCACAAGGACATACGGCCAGACCGACCCAGGACAGAAGGACATCCCTCAAGAACACGAGACCCTCCGCCAGCCCAAACTGAAGAGCATTCGAGGGTGCCCTCCCCCCAGGATGCGCAAGAACATCCAACAAGCACGAAGAACAGTAGGGCACCCTCCCCGCTCGGACCTCGGCGGCCGTATACCTCGGTCTGGCCGTACTAGTATTAGGTCGGACCTGTGTCCCCCTAGAGGCTGTTTTTTGGACGAACATAAAAAAAGTCAAAGATATCCCAACATGGTCAAACATAGTGAAAAAATCGTTCCCTGAAGACTTGTTGACCATTTTTGAACATTCCCCATTGAGTAGAGGGACACGCCCGACTCGATACCAGCACGATCTGTCCTCCTCCGAGGCGTGCGTCCGACGAGCATGTTTCTGCGGGAGGCGCCTCCGCTCCGTCGTTGCGCCGGCGTCGGGCTGCCGGGCCGAGGGGCGGGGATCGGGAGGAGGGGGTGGGGGGGGGGAGAGGGGGGGGGGCAGGAGGAGCGAGGGGAGGGGCGAGGAGGGAGCGAGGGGGGAGCGAGGAGGGAGGAGGAGGAACGAGAAGCGGGTGGGGTTTCTTGTCGTGGGACGTTTCCCGAGCGGTACTGGCCAGGGAGCGACGGGCCACGGAGCCTGTGCAGCAGGGCGCTGCCTCGGCGCGCGGCCCCCCTCTGGGGGGCGACGCACACATCGTGTTAGCACGTTGGGGCGACGCCGATCCCTCGTCCACGTTTTCCTTCCGCTCGTTGTCCTTCTTCCCCCCCCCCCTCCCTGTACTAGTAGGTCGGGCCTGTCCCTCTACAGGGGGAATATCTCAAGATTGTCAAAAAAATGGTCTGGAGACGATTGTTACCATGTTTGAA